TATTTACTTGATTAAAATACCTGTAACTCATATTCTGTCCACTCTTAAAATTATCGGGAAGATGATTAATTTAGGGCTTAGGAGTCAGGCGGAATTCTATTTTTCTCAGAAGTCATTTTCTTAACACCAATGAAGTCTAGTCACTTTCCCTTTTACTGGCAACAGAATCATCACTCCAAACCTAAAGGAGAAACGGGGGTGAAAAGACATCTCCTTCTACCAACAGCCAGCCAGGAGCAGCATGCAGTGCTTAACGCCAGCCAGCCAACCTACTGGGGCAGACCTAGTCCCTGGGCATAGGAAAGGAGAATCTGATTTCTAGGGAAGACCTGCATATAGTCAGATCTCCTGCACAAAAGCCAGAGTGTGTGGGAGGAACAAAAGAAGAGACCAACAAGAAACATTTAAATCATTCCATAAACCGCTGGCAAAGCAGCTGCAATGGAGACAGAACTGGCCAGGGCTGGGGAGATGGTGGATAAGGCAATAGCAACAGACATCCACAATGAAAACAGAAAAGACAAGCTCCACAGCAGCGCCATCTGCCTGGTACAACAGACAGGCTGGAGATGTCAGAAACCATGTGGCTCACAGGGAAACGGAGATGGAAAAAAATTACCGCTTGCTTCTTGTCAGCTTTCTAGTTCTCAGTATGAGGAGACAGCTTGACTTTACCTACCATCAGATCTTGTGTGCTACCTATATTTAAGCTAATGAATTAATCTTCCTGTATTTAAGCTAACTGGAGTAGGCTTTCGTTTTGGGCAAACAAACCAATCCTGGTGAAGATAAGGAACAAGCAAAATATATTTAGACTTTAATTTACTAAGATATTCTTTTCACCAGTAGAACCAATTACAATTCTGTTTTGCTCTGGTAGAAACTCTAGTAGCTAACTTTTTTCTAAAATATTATTTTTAGACTGGGTTAAGCCACCACCTGCAGCACCAGCACCCCATATGGGAGCAGGTTTGAGCCCTACCTGCTCCACTTCTGACCCAGCTCTCTCCTAATGTGGTGGGAAAGCAGCAGAGCTCCTGGCTACAGCCTAGTCCAGCCCCAACTGTTGCAGCCATTTGGGGCATGAAACAGCAAATGGAAGCTCTCTCTGTCCCTCTCTCTGTCCCTCCCTCTGTCCCTCTGTAACTTTGCCTTTCAAATAAATAAAACAAATCTTTAAGAAGTCATCATTTACATTATTTCTTAGCTAAATGCACAGCTTCTTCTGACAACCTATGAAAAGAGTGCATTTTTTTAGATTATCATTGAAGGGTCAACTTTAACATCACTTAAATTTTAGCAAAAATGTAATAAATCTGGAAACATTTTCTTAATAACTTGTACTTCTTAGTACAAAAATTTTTGACAAAAGTGTAGGTTGTCAAGAAATAATAAACTGTACATATCTGACTTTAAACACACAATATGCAAGAGACATCTTACAAACAGGAAATGTGTGCATGCCTGCACAGGCACAACAACACAGTTCTGTAATGTAGGCAAAGCAAAATTAGATATGAAAAAAGAACAGCCTCAAAATTATCATGCTTAATGTTCTACTAGCATATCTAACATACAAGCCATGAACATAGGAATCTTACCATGCGCTACATCTCACTCACAGTAACTGAACTAGTAACTAAAGAAAACAAATGTCTGAAGTAATCTAAATTCCTTAGGAGTTATGTTCTTTGTTTGCTTTTTTAATTTTATAAATAAGATTGATTTATGTTATTTGAAAGTCAGAGTTACAAAGAGAGAGAGAGGTACAGTCAGAGAGAGATCTTCTATCTGCTGGTTCACTCCCCAAATGCCCACAAAGGTTGGAGCTGGAATGGCTGGAGCTGGGCTGATCCAAAGCAAGAAGCCAGGAGCTTCTTCCAGGTAGCAATTGCCCCCAGTTTGTTGGACAAACTGACTCAGGAGCTTCCTGACAGAAACACTGGAAGCACATCACATAGCCCTTGTGGTGTTCCTGCACAAAATGCACAGCCTCAATCTAATCATAAGGAAGCATCACAGTGACATTCTAAAAAGTAGCTGCCCCATAGTCTTCAAAGGTAGCAACGATAAGACCGACCAAAAAATTGTTATATTTAAAACAGACTAAAGAGACAATAACAACAAAATGCAATGTGAGGTTCTGGATTGGACAAAAAATATGAAGTGACTTCAAAAAGTCTGTGGAAAACAGGACATTTAGGCTAGAAGTGAAGATGCCTCTTGAAACATCTGTATCCCATATCAGAGTGCCTGGATTCAAATTCTTCCACTCCCGATTCCAGCTTCCTGCTACTGTACACCGTGGGAGGCAGTGGCAATGGCTCAGACACTTGGGTTCCTGCCAACCACATAGGAAATTTAGGCTGAGTTCCCTGCTCCTGGCTTTGATGTGGTCCAGCCTCATCTGTTACAGGCATTTAAGGAGTGAAGCAGGAGATGGGCATTCCATCTGACTGTATTTCTCTACTTCTCACATAAATAAAAATAAGCAAATAATAATAATAAATTAATGATATAAAAAGTTATTGTATTGCTATATAATTCTTATTAAATGTAAATTTCATAAAACTTCAATTTAAGGATATTTACATCAAGATGACAGACTTAACAACCATTTGTTTGGGCAATTCCTCAGATTTTTAATAGTGACAAAGACCTGTCAGTTCATTTCCATTATACATAAGTTTATGTTGTCTCCATCAAGATGTAACAACTGGGTGACACACATAAAAGAAAACTTGGAAAATAATTATAAAAATGTAATTAAACTTCTTAAGGGATAAATACAAAGCTTACTTCAGTTTTCATTTTTAGCATTATCTACAGGCCATTCTACTGCTGTTTAATTATTTAAAATATACACATGGGGCTGGCGCTATGGTGTAGCAGGTAAAGTCGTCACCCACAGTGCCAGCATCACATATGGGCGCCGGTTCAAATTCCAGCTTTCTACTATGGCCTGGGAAAGCAGTAGAAGATAGCCCGAGTCCTTGGGCCCCTGCACCAGCATGGGAAGACTTGGAGGAAGTTCCTGGCTCCTGGCTTCAGACTGGCCCAGCACTGGCTGTTGCAGCCAACAGGAAGTGAAACAGTGGAGTCAGAATGAACTTTCTCTGCCTATCCTTCTTTCTCTGTGTAATTCTGACTTTCAAATAAATAAATAAATCTTTAAAATTAAAATAATAAAATAATAAAACATACACACACACAAAGCCCAAATAAAACAGGCCAGTGACCACAATGTAACTGCCCCACCCACAGAAAGAAAAAAAGAGAGAAAACATTTAAAAGCAAAGCAAGTTAACTCATTTGTTTTCTCTGTTGCTTCTTACTGGACAGCCTTTATCTTTGTCATTGCTTTACTAATCCTTCAAAACCCAATTCAGATATTCACTTGTCTAACTGACTGGTCTTATTCAAACAAAAACATGAACTCAATCCACAGATCCATACAACTCAGTCACATGCGCATGTGCAAAATCTGAGCTGGTTTCATAATTATTTATAAAGGACACAGACTCCATTACCCATCAGGCATTTTACTTTCTTTACTGTCAAGTGGCTATTAGCCATCTCTTCCAAACGGTAATTTAGGTTGGTGCTTTGCAACCATCTAAAATTTGTATTACACTGGTATTTCTAAAGTGACTGTAATTAAGTGTAGGGTACATAGTGTCCAGGGAAATAAAAAGTACAGCCTCAAGAAGCATCTCTTTTTTTTAATTTTTTTAAAGATTATTTATTTACTTGAGAGGTAGAGTTACAGAGAGTGAGAGGGGGAAACAGAGAGAAAGGTCTTCCTTCCATTGGTTCACTCCCTAAATGGCCGCAACAGCCGAAGCTGTGCCAATGTGGAGCCAGGAGCCAGGTGCTTCTTCTCAGTCTTCCATGTGAGTGCAGGGGCCCAAGGATTTGGGCCATCTTCTACCGCTACCCCAGGCCACAGCAGAGGAGCAGCCAGGACTAGAACCAGTGCCCATATGGAATGCCGGTGCTGCAGGCAGAGGATTAACCTACTGTGCCACGGCACTGGCCCCAGGAAGCATCTCTTAACTAGCAAAGCTGAAGCAACTTTAGACTAGAAAATGGAATCATCAACTGATGGTGAGAAAACGGCTCCAAAGAATTCCTCTCTCCTTGGAATTGGTTGTGATATTGTTTTAAACCTGGTTGCATTTGTATTTTTAAAATACACAAAACCTAGGATGGTACAGATATTTGGAAAGAGTTCCCCATTAAAAATGTCTTAAGAATACTGTGAAAAATTCCAGGTACCAAGAAAGAGACTATAATTTTCTAAATTAATTCTGGAAAAATATTATATCTGGACATATGAGTTTTTAAATTCATATGGAATATCTTAGTAACATAATTATTAATGTTAAAAGATTTTCTTCTTCAATTCAGATAAGTTACTATCTTTTTTTTTCTTTAAGATTTTGTTTATTTATTTGAGAGGTAGAGTTACAGATAGACAGAGAGAAAGATCTTTCATCTGCTGGTTCACTCCCCAAATGGCTGCAATGGCCAGAGCTGAGCCAATCCAAAGCCAGGAGCCAGGAGCTTCTTCTGGGTCTCCCATGCGGGTCCAGGGTCCCAAGGACTTGGACTATCTTCTACTGCTTTCCCAGGCCAGGCAAGATTGGAAGAGGAACAGTCAGGACTAGAACCGGCATCCATATGGGATGCCAGTGCTGCAGATGGAGGCTTAGCCTACTACGCCACAGCACCAGCTCCATAAGTTACTATTTTAATCACTATGCATGGTTACATCCTTAAAGACAAACAAAAATATTGTAGGCATATGGAAACATCACACAACAAAGTAGCATTACCCATATCTGAGGCTTGGTGAATTTCTTTGCTGTATTAATTTACCTATATATAAAAGATATAGAATGGGTAACACTCATATAGCTTATTATTCTGTTTGAGAAAAGGTTGAAAACAAATCTAGAAACACAAGCAAGAAGTTCTACACAAGATCCTCTACCTACAAAATTCAGTGTGTCTTTCCTGAAGTCCTGAGCTGTCCATATGCACACATTGCTGCTTCTGAATTAGAGGTTGATTACATTTAAAATCATTCTGTAGGAGAAAAATGATGACATTTTATGATGTTAAATTATTAAGTTTGAACTGCGAGTAAATACAAAAGTTCTTCAGAGTAAGTTAAGTTGTCATTGCTTATAAATCTTGTCAAATTTATGAGTATAAAAATGTAGTACTGCTGAAAAGAACAAGAGATGCACCAGGAATGCCATAGTGAGTATGACAGGATCAGAGATCTGCATGCATCATTTGGAGGGGCACCCGTGAGTTGGATCACCCTACCCAACCTCCTGAGTTGAGGGGGCCCAGTGTGTGCCAACTGTCCCCTCCCTCCCAGCAACTCTACTCCTCCACTGTATTCCCCACCCCCACTCAGGGTTATTATAATCCATTTTGTAATGTCAATACAGATGTCAAGTGGAAATGGAAAAACACTGGCTATTCTAAGACCTATAATTCATGAAAATAGTTTTGAATTAATCATAAAATCATGAAAAAGAATTATTTTAACATGTTACATAACTGTATTCCATGCCATATATAAACTCAAATCTTTCTCTATATCATCAAGAAACCTAATATTTATCTCCTAAAAACAGAATCAAAACCAAGGTAGATAGCTAGCCAGTTCCATCACGCTCTAAGTATTTAATTTAAACTTAAAAACTTAATTTTAATATTATACTCATTATTTTTAAATTCCCTGCAGAAAGAAAGGTTAACTTTACTGTATCCAAATTTATGATTTAGTCTAATAGAAACTTCCAGAGTAGCCTAATATCAAAAAATATCAAACTCATTTAGGGGAGAACAGTAAAAACATCAAAGTTGTACTGGAAATCTGAAAGCACAGCCTCAGCAAACCGGGCTTAGAGACCATCCTGGGGGTCAGGAGAGGCCCAGTCTGCTGCCACACAGACTTCTACTCTCCTTTCAGCCATGACTGTATTTTAATTACTTTCAAATAGTTTATTTCACTTGGAGTATTATAATAACTCATTCTAATCTAAATCAAAACAAAGATTACAAAAAAAGAAAAATCAATGTGTTTTCAAATTTTCACATAGCATGAAAGTGAACTCCAAAAGAATTTTATAAGATTTAATCAATATCTTCAGAATATGGTAGCATATTTCAGGTCCAAAAGCCCATATTTTAGGTAAGTAGAAAGACAGACTTTACTAGTATAGTTTAGTAAAAGCAAGTAGGATACTTACACAAAAGCATTGATTGAAACCCCTTTTACACTTGGGAATGTATTTTGCAAGTTTACTTTCCCAAATGATATTCTATTTGGTCTCATAGTAAGCTGATATTAAACTAAATTGCTACAACTGGAGCAATTTTCATTCTCTGGCACAAAGAGCCAAAGAATAAATCACAAGGAAGTACAGGGGTCATACGTGAATTCTAATCTTCCTTTATAGGAAAAAGTCTTTATAAAGAAATATATAGAAAAACTGCAACTAAGCTGCTCCATTAAATGCAAAAGAGATATGTCATAATAAAATACTCAATACTCTGGAACATAATTAGAGACAGGAAAGAAAAGGGAAACTTCTAGTCAATAAGGAAGAACAAATGCCCTGTTTATAAAGATACACACATAATCACACATGGAAAAATGTACTGAGAGACTAAGGCAAGTTCCTAAATTCAAGGGGAAAAATCTAATTTTAAAATTTTCATCTTTCATGTGTGATCCTTGAACAACAAAAATTCTCAACCAAAAATTTTTCTTCACTGGCAAAGGGAAAAAAATCAACATTCTATTTCATACAAAATACAAACAAGAAAAACAGTACATAATAGCAAATACTACATAAAATAAAAAAAATAAGAAAAATATTAAACCTTACAGCAATTTTTAAAAGAACTATAAGAATGAAAAAACTTTATTAATAAAAATGAAAATTATATTTTAGCAACCCTAATTTCAACAAAAAGAAAAAATCTTTAGAAAAGATTTCACAGAATCTTTAGAAAAACATCTGGCAAATATTGTGTTTATTGGCTGGAATAGCATTGAACACTAATAAATATCAACATTCTTTAATTCCACAAAAGATAAATAAATAAACTGAGAAATATCAAATTATTCAACAAATCATTTATGTTGAAAATTCTATTTTGGAGTAAAGTGAAACAAGAGAAATTCAACCTAAAGATTCTGTGAAAGTCAGTTTTATTTTTCCTTTTTGCTGAAAATAGGGTTGCTAAAATATAATTTTTATTTCCATCTTTTACTGACAGGCTTGAAGTTCTTTCCTCCCACTAAATAGATGAAAAACAGTTTAGCATACTCTCTGCTTTAATTCCATTCCTCTTGTACTAAGGACATCCAGAAAGTAAAAATACTTTTAGATCATCAAGTGTGGTTAGCACAAGCCCTGAAATTTTCTTCAAGTCTATCTATTTCTCATCTCAGTTATCTAGCCAAATCACCAACCAACTCTATACTAGACCACCATGAGAATCAATTAAAACAGTCTTCTTGTTTTCATATTTACCCTATTCTGGCTTGTTGTTGTTGTTGTTGTTGTTTTTGACAAGCAAAGTTATACAGAGAGAGAGAGAGACAGACAGACAGAGAGAAAGGTCTTCTTTGTGTTGGTTCACCCCCCAAATGGCTGCTACAGCTAGAGCACTGCGCTGATCCGAAGCCAGGAGCCAGGTGCTTCCTTCACAATCTCCCATGCAGGTGCAGGGCCCAAGCACTTGGGCCATCCTCCACTGCCCACTGCCCTCCCAGGCCACAGCAGAGAGCTAGACTGGAAGAGGAGCAACCAGGACAGAATCCGGCGCCCCAGCTGGGACTGGAACCCGGGGTGCCAGCGCCACAGGCGGAGGATTAGCCAAGTGAGCTGCGGTGCCGGCCTACAGTGTTCTTTATAACATAAACAAATCTTGTCTTTGCCTTGCCTGAAAACCTTTCAACAGCTTTCACCTCTTTGTACAACAGCAAGAGTCAAACAACAGTCTACAGGAATCCACATAACTAAATCCCTGCCTAACTCTCCTCATCCATATTTTTCAAAGCTGACCGATGCATCTTCCTTTGAATGAATTTCTCTGCCTGAGCACTGACACAGAAGGCCAGAGAACTGCCTCATGCAGCAGACTTCCAGTGCAATGCAGAATATTTAGCAGCATCCCTAGTGTCTACCCCTCAGGTGAAAGTGGCAACAATCCCCCAAATGTCACAACTAAATGTGTCTCCATACATTGCTTTAAACAAGCCAAGCTCATTCTTACTCCATGGTCTTTCTGTTCTTATTCACTCTACCTGAAATGCTTAATTAAGCCCAATAACTGAACCGTATGGCTGGTTCCTTATTTATTATCTCAGCTTAATTGTTCTTCTCTTACTCATCCTCTATAAAAAGTTTCACTTATTATCATCAAATCTATAGCCCAGCATTTAACATAACATGATACAAAGCAAATGTTCAAAAAGTAGCTGCTCTAAGAAGGCATAAAAGTCAGTATTTATAAGAAAAGCATTCAGGTGACAGAATCATAACCTTTAACATATGATATCACAGTAGCACTCCTGGGTATTCCCCTACCCTGCACTGGCTTGCATCTTCAAATGTACTCCTTCTAGTGTACCATTAACTCTTTCCTTTGGAAGCACTAGTAGCATTGTCATCAGTTAGAGGCAGTGCATATTTGTTTATTGGGCCTTGACAAGGATAGTCCAAAACCAGAGTATCCTTCTGTGAAGTGGAGAATTAAGAAATACGTGCACTTTCCACAAGACAAATTATAGTACTGAACAGCCAACACACAACTAAAGACAGCCATGCCAAAGAGAATCTTAATTGGTTTCACCACGTACACAGAGGGCTGGCTCCCCACTATAAGCAGTTATCCTTTATTTTATTTGAAGTGGATACAGAAAAGGTCAACACTCTTGAAAAGCATGACTTCGGTTGCTTCAAAAGCAAAAAGATATAATAAATAAGATGTGAGAGTTGAAACTGAGTTGATCAGTTTTCAGTGTTTTTATGTGAGCTGGTAAAATCCATTCAGCTTAACTGTATGCTTAACAGTTAAAACTTGCAAAACTGTAGAAGAATCAGTAAAGTAAATATATTACATTAACTCCAGAGAACATGTATTCACTTATGCCACAAGGCCCTCTCAGTCACCTCTGGAGTCGTTTTTGATAGTAATACTTCAAATGTATATTTTGTGAGACCATTGCACAGTTCATCTCTCTAAAATTATCACATCATTGACGTTCTGAATTACTAAAATACATTTCTCAGTTTCTAATGAAAATTACCAACTTTAAAAACAATATTTCATGGGCACATTTTACATAACAACTTTTCAAATAGCCCAAACAAGAGCCTGAAGACCAACACAGAAGTGTGAACAAAAAGCTGTGACATACCAGTTGTGCACCATGAGCTTCTGCACGGCCAGCAGAGCATTGTAGCGGACCTGTTGGTCTTCATGATGCATGTGGTTCATCACCAGCTGCTTCCCACCAAGCTGTTCAATAACCCTGCACAATGCAAGAGACTTGATGAAGATGCTGCCATTATTTTCAAACTCATTCTGTTCAAGAGCAGAAAGTTCATGGACCCATTGCCAAGAGATTTTAAAAAGAAAAGTCACAATATGTATAAGTAAATCAACACATGTCCTTTTTATGTCATACTCTGAATCATAGATTTAATCAAGTATTTTCTCTTTAAAATTCCTAAGGACAAACCCAACTATTATTCTCACTTATTATAATTAGGATTTATTTAATTGTGATGGGAAGAGAGAAAGAAACAGAGAGAGAAATATCTTCGTCTGTTGTTCATTCCCCAAACAGCTACAACTGAGGCTAAGCCAGGCTGCAGTCAAGAGTGAGGAACTCTATCTGGGTCTCCTAAGTGAGTGGCAGGGGCCCAAGCACTTGGGTCACCATCTGCTGTGCATCAGCAGGGAACTGGATCCAGAGTGCAGCAGCTGGAATTAGAACACTAGCACTTCACTTTGGGATGCTGGTATCACAAGCATCAGATGAACTCACTTTGCCACAACACTGCCCCTGTTATTTTCATTTTTGAGTCCAGGAAAATATCATCTACTTGGATACCTCACAGTCTATGGTATTCCAGATTATAGTTTTCAACATGACTGAGTATTGACTTATTACCAGTATTTCTGACTTGCTTGAAATCAAAACTGAATAAAATCTAACATTCATAACAATATAAGATCAACATTAAATCACCAGTTATTGTGCTGTGTCATAGGCATTGGTTTTAGATGAGAGGATAGGGGTCAGAGGATCGATAGGATATCCCATGTGATCTCTGGCAGTGAGACAGAAAAAATTCTTATCTTCAAGAGCAGGACAAGATAACAACCTACACTGACCTCCTACCATTGTACCCCAGCACCCAGAAAATCTATTTTCTACAGACACAAAAAGAAGTGAAAATGGCTATATGCTTCATGAATAAAAAATGGTTCTTTGTTTCTAAGCAATAGTGGAGTTGTTTAATTTCTTGACTCCAACACAACAGTGTAGATTTCTCCATCCACCTAGTCAGATGGTTGACACCTTAACACAATAGGGCATTTCATGATTTAAGACAATTTCATAGATCAGTAAGCTTCTAGAACAGATAAGAAGTGCACGGATGGAGGTCAGAGAGGAAAGGGAGGCTTTCACCTGTATACCTTCTCATACTTTGTGTTTTAAGTATCTTTTTTTCCCTTAAATTCAATAAAATTTTAGAGCACAACATGAGCATAACCAAATACTATCAGAGGGCCTGTCATGTGCAAGGCACTATGTTTTGAAATGTCATCTTACCTAACACATTAACTGGATTATTTACATGAAGCAGGTCATTTAATCTAGAGGATTTTTCCCTGAAAATGCTGTGAAGATGAAAGGACAGTGAGCCCATGCCTACTGCCATGATGATGATGATGCTGAGGATACAAGGGGCTGCTCCTCTTCAATTCATTCTCCTTACTTTAGTCAAATTGGTCTTTCACAAAACTCGCAATATCATTTCCCCTGCTTCAAACAATTCCATGACTCCCACTGCTTTTAACAAAAGGATCAAAATCTTTACAATGATGAACAGGCCTTTCACCAGCTGCTATAGCGAACCTGCCTCACTCCACAGAGCATTCTTAGTTCCTGGGCTTGCTCTGCACATCAGGCTGGGGGCCAGTAGCACTGTAACTTCCACCTGAAGGACATGGGCCTGACCCACACATTTTCTCCACAGGTGCATATATCACTGCCTCCTAGGCTTAGGAACATTTGTGATACTTCGGCACTACATTTCGGAGCCATTTTGAACAGCAAAATTGCAAAAAGCAAGCACAGAAGTTCAAACGATGTGCCACTAAATAGATCCTGTAAAGGACAAATGTTTATAGTCCAAGAACAAACACATCACCTTGTTCTACATTAGCTTGGAATTTGCTAATGATGACTCAAGTTTTCCACCACAATGAAGTTGAAGGTTACTTGTTTCTGTGCTCACGAAACTTATAATATAGACAGTATTTTGCTACATGGATATAAACACATTTGCTTTCATGTAAACATAACTATTTTTATCATAATTATAACTGAAATATAACTATTTTATCAATATGTGTGTAATCATATCATGTGATATAATTACATTATGCACTAACAACCATAAACAGAATACTAAACAATAGAATCCTTATCAGCATATTTTAGAGAAATTTGTCTGAATTTTTAACTACATTAATAGGGAAAAGACCTTTGGAACAAATGAAAATAGTTCTGTGCTTTTTAGGATATTTATGGTTTATTCTAAAAATACATTTCTCTGTTTTCACCAGCTGGTGCATTCCTTAAATGTTCTTGCCAGTGTGGAGCTTGTTAATGGTATATGATAATATTCCAAGTCTTTAAAACTCAAGACACTATTGACTCCAATGGTTTTGAAATACAGTTAGCAAGGGGCCAGTGTTGCAGCATAGCAGGTTAAGCTGCCTTCTGCTATGCTGGCATCTAACATGGGCACTGGTTTGTGCCCCAGCTGCTCTGTTTTTGATATAGCTCCCTGCTAATGCACCTAGGAAAGCAGTAGAATATGACCCAAGTTGAACCCTTGCACCCATGTGAGAGACCAGGAAGAAGCTCATGGCTCCTGGCTTCCACATGGCCCAGAACTGGCTGTTGTGGCCATTTGGGGAGCAAACCAACAGATGGAAGAAACCTCTCTCTCTCTCTCTCTCTCTTTCTCTCTCTCTCTCTTCCTCCCTCCCTCCCTCCCTCTCTCTCTCTCTTTCTGTAACTCTGCCTTTCAAATAAGTATAAATAAATCTTTTTTGGAAAAAAATGAAGTATGGTTAGCAAGGTTTTGCTACTAGCTTGTAAGTGAAGCATTCTAATTTAGTTCTACATTAAATCAACAAATATCCTGTCTTTTAAACAGTCTTTTTATAATCTGCCAACTGATTCTTTTTTCACCATTTATTCAAACACCCATGATATAAAACATGTTTTAATATGAAAGTAACCAGTTCTTCACTTGTATCATAGCAGTGAATTTCGGTGGGGTGAGACTATCCACTGTCGGTGAGACAGCCAGAATCTCTTGGTTGGAGAGCAGCAACATATAGTTTGAAAGTGAATGCTTAATAAATAAGTAGCATAATATCAATTGTTAAAAGCACAGCTCTCCAAAACTTCTTGGCTGGAAGTACGACGAAAAGATAGTGTAAAAAAGCAAGTTTTCAAAGTGCCAGAAACACTTTTCTACAGAGTCCAAGGCAGTAAGTACACTTGTTTTGAAAATTACATGAGATACAAAATACAAAGCATTTTGCATTTAGCACAGTGCCCAACACATAGAAAAAATGCTAATAAAAGTATTACTGTAAATGGTGTGTTATCTTTCTGTTTTTATCAGTCTTGCTTTTAAAATTTATTTATTTTTATTTGTTCAAAAGGTAGAGAAAAAGGGAGAGACAGACAGTAAGACAGATTGCTGGTTGGTTCACTTCCTAAATGCCTCCAACAGTGTTGGGACAGGCCAACATCAGGATTCAGGAACTCAATCAGGGTCTCTCACATGGGTGCAGGAACCCAACTAATCGAATCATTGCCTGAAGCCTCCCATGGTGCATACTAGGAGGCAGCTGGAGAACAGAAATAGGACTCAAGCCCAGGCACTCCAGTATGGTATCCCAACCACTAAACAAACACTTGCCCCAAGTTAGTTATGTTTTAAAAATTTTATGCAGAATGTTTGTAAAATTATGTGGGGAATATTGCACATAAACAGGTAAAAGTAGAAGATAAGATAGAGTTATCACAGTTCTGGAAGAAAAATAAATACATAGAAGAGAAAAATTGATTGTTATAAACTTTCATCTCAGAGTTTATAGTATTAAAAGTGTTTTTCCAGGGCTGGAACTGTAGTGCAGCATTCCATATGGGCGCCAGTTTGAGTCCCGTCTGCTCCACTTCCAATCCAATTCTCTACTATGGCCTCGGAAAGCAGTGGAAGATGGCCCAAGTCCTTGGGCCCCTGCACCCGTGTGGGAGACGCAGAAGAAGCTCCTGGCTCCTGGCTTCGGATCGGCGCAGCTCCGGCCATTCCAGCCAATTGGAGAGTGAACCATCGATGGAAGACCTCTCTCTCTACTTTTCCTCTCTCTGTGTAACTCTGACTTTCAAATAAATAAATAAATCTTTTAAAAAAAAAAAAGTGTTTCTCCTTCACTATTCTTTTCTGCATTTTTCAAGTTTTCTATAATGAGCAATTGTTACTTAACTATGAATTTACAAAAATTAATTAGGTTTCATGGATAAAATGATTTTTATCTGTATGTGCTGTTCTAGGTTTGTGTAAAGGAGAGACATTAATGGGATATAAAAGTCTATATTTGAAGAGAACAAGCATGAGTTCTTCGGTAGCTCTCATCTCCCACTGTGTAGTGAATGCTATAGAGGTCACATTCAGCTGTTCTATTTTCAGAAGTTCACAATCTAGTATGGGAAAGAGACATAATCAGGTTATTATTGTATAACTTGAGAAGTTCAATATAGTGGAAATAGAAATGTACAGAATATTGTGCTTTCACACAGAAGCTGGACATTTGTGTCATCTATCAAAAGTTTGTCTTAAAAAAAGGAGAATCTTGTGTCACAGTCAGCACTTTTATGCAAGTAACAGAAACCTGACTCAACTTGATTCAGCACCTTGAAATGAGCCAGATCCAAAGAGACAAATATCAGATGTTTCTCTGATTTATGGCAACTAATAGATAGAGTCTGAAAAATTTTAATGTATATGAGTAAAATTGACATTTTCAGATTTATTATTTATAAGTCCTTGCCTATATGCCTGTAGAACAGTGCTCTTTTTTTCTTGTTATTGGAGCATAAAGCCTTTGACTACAAAGTAAATTAAAAATGTCATCACAAAAATTTAAAAAAGGGAAAGGAAAGGGAAGGAAGAAGGGAAGGAGAGAAGCATCATTACGTTCTTAGAATTAGAC